AAATTAACAATACGGAAAAGAAAAAACATAATAGCACACTGAAACCAGTTCAAATATCATACCAATACGCAGTTTTCTTCACGCAGTTCATACAGTCATAAACTACTTACACGCACACCTTACTAATCTAATGTCAGTATATACATGACCACATTTTACATAATACTCACCTCTGGCTGTCAGTAATAGGCGCTTGTCCAGTCCGTTCTCCACTAAAAAGTCTGTCAGGAAGATTATTGTCTTTTTCTGGAGATGCATCTCAGCCCATGGTCCAAGTAGTTTCTTTATTGTGAGGGGCCGTCTGTCCAAACTTGCTAATTTCTTCTTTATTTTTTTCTCTTTCATTCGCGTATTTAACGCACTCCAAAAGAATATGGTGAACATTTTCTTCTGCATGACTGCAATGGCATTCCGGTGAGTTGGATCGATGTATCTTGTGCAGGAAGCTGTTTGTGTATGCTACTTCCAGTCTAAGTCAGTGGATCAATGTCTCTAGGTGTCGTGGGAGGTCTGTTGCTATGGAAAATTTTCTGTGTGGATCAACTTCATAAAGTACCGTTTCCTTTGATATAAGGCTCTCAAACCACTTCTCCATCGAACAATGGTTAGCTCTTTGCGATATAAAATGTCGAATATCCGCCCCAGACATAGGGATTGCGCAATCCCGTCCTTCCTTCAATGCTTTGTTTGGGAAGTCGTTTTAGATACTTTGTTTGGTCCCTTTATTATATCATTCCTGTTCACGTTACGAGCACGTAGTATGGCATCGTCAATAATGTCTTTTGTTTTTTTCGTCTTTTTTCTTCTTTTTCTTTTCTTTTTTTCTTTCTTTCTTTATTTTTTAGTTCTCTCTCCTTCTCGCAAAAATCTTCCAAGGCGAGAGGAACGTGGCAGCAACGTAGTTTGGAAGTTCATGTTAGTATAACTCATCCCCTGATGAAGGGAGGACCCCTCCCGAAACTTTTGGGAAATAAATATATTTATCCTTGTTGACAACGCTCCCGTTGTGCCATATCCCATACCTTCAAGAAGACTAACTGGCCCACAGAATTATTACACCCCCTACATATTGTGACGGGGTGAGGTCTTGGCTTACAGGATAGCGTCCACCGAGAATCGGCAGCCGAACAAGATGTCTGAGTTGCCTCTCGCACAATCGCCTAACGCACAGGCGTTTTCTTCATCTTCGCTAAGTGCCACACTTGCTCCTGTCGATGATGCACCGTAACATCACTTCCCTGTGGCGGAAGCGCCGTCACGGCGCTTAGTACGGCGGCGACGAACGAGGAGGGTGATACGGTTTCAGTCTGGAAACGTGTACAACGTCTGTCTGGAGTGAGGGGGTCGAAGAGGCGTTGTTTAGGGGTGCGATCTCGTAGCTCACGTCACTAAGTCGTCGTAACACTTTGTAGGGGCCATGGTAGTGTGATAGTAGCTTCTCTGATCAGCCGACTTGGCGGTTTGGTGTCCAGATAAGTACCAGAGACCCCGGCGAGAAGTGCACGCTTTGGTGGCGACTGTCATAGCGGTCTTTTTGCTGCGCTTGCGACAAGTGAAGCCGATCACGGGCAAGCTTACGGGCTGCATGGGCTCGAGAAACGACATCGCTAGCGTACTCAGTAGACAAGGGGGCCGCCGAAGGTAGGAGCGTGTCAAATGGTAATGCTGGATGTCGGCCATATAGCAAATAAAACGGAGAATAACTAGTTGTGTCGTGCCGTGAAGAATTGTACGCGAACGTGACAAAGGGAGTGCTTTGTCCCAGTCACGGTGATCTGGCGAAACGTACATTGACAGCATCTGCGTCAGCGTTCGGTTCAGGCGCTCGGTCAATCCATTTGTCTGTGAATGATAAGCGGTGGTAAGCTTGTGCTCAGTCGAGCAGGCGCGGAGAATGTCATCCACAACACGTGAAAGAAAGTACCTTCCTTGATCAGTAAGCAGCTGCCGCGGAGCGCGGTGATGAAGAATGGCTTCATCCAAGAGAAAGTCGGCGACCTCAGTGAAACAGCTTGTCGGCAGTGCTTTAGTGATGGCAAAGCGTGTGGCGTAGTCTGTGGCGACTGCAACCCATTTATTTCCGGAGGTGGACGTAGGAAACGCGCCCAACAGGTCAAGGCCAACACGGAAGAATGGTTCCGACGGTATGTCAATGGGCTGTGGGAGGCCAGACGGTAGCACAGAGGGGCGCTTGCGGCGTTGGCAGCGGTCGCAAGCAGTGGCATAGCGAACCACAGAACGATACAGTCCGGGCCAGAAAAAGCGACGTCGCACACGATCATAGGTACGAGAGACGCCTAGGTGACCGGCTGTAGGTACGTCATGTAGTTGTTCGAGAACGCTGGTACGCGGGTGATAGGGAAGCACGAGTACTAATTCCGGGCCATCAGCGTTGAAACTGCGACGGTACAGAATGTTGTCGTGCAGTTCGAACAGGCGAACGGAAGAGTCTGTTGGAGCAGAGGTCAGACACTCGATGATGGAGAGTAACGACGGGTCACGTTGTTGTTCGGTGGAGATATTACCCAAAGCGTGGATGGAGAGAACGCAGGGGTCTGAATCAAGGTCTGTCAAGTCGGGCGTTTCAACCGGATAACGTGACAAACAGTCTGCGTCTGTGTGGAGGCGTCTCGACTTGTAGTGGACCACGAATGAGTATTCTTGCAGACGGAGCGCCCAGCGACCAAGACGTCCAGATGGGTCCTTTAGCGATGACAGCCAGCAAAGAGCGTGATGGTCCGTAACAACGGAAAAAGTTCGGCCATACAGGTAAGGCCTGAATTTCGCCACGGCCCACACTAAAGCTAGGCATTCACGCTCAGTGATGGAGAACTTCCGTTTGGCAGGTGAAAGAAGACGACTGGTGTAAGCAATCACGCGGTCCTTCCCGTGCTGTCGTTGGCCAAGGACCGCTCCAATTCCATGGCCACTGGCATCGGTCCGAAGCTCTGTAGGTGATGCTGGGTCGAAATATGCCAGTATTGGTGGCGTAGTCAGCAGATGGACAAGAGCCGAAAAGGCGTCCGCTTGCTCTATACCCCATGCGAAGGGAACGTCCTTCTTTAAAAGATCAGTAAGCGGTCGAGCGATGTCGGCGGAGTTGCGGACAAATCGACGAAAATAGGAAAGTAGCCCTACAAAACTTCGGACGTCCTTGGTTGAGCGTGGTTCAGTAAATTGTTGTACTGCTCGCACCTTTTCGGGATCTGGTTGAACACCATCGGCACAGACAAGGTGGCCGAGTATGGTGATTTGGCGACGTCCGAAATGGCATTTTGCAGAATTGAGCTGGAGAGACTCTCTTCGAAAAACATCCAGAACGGCTGACAGACGTGTTATATGGCTGTCAAAGGTAGGTGAAAAGACGATGACATCGTCCAAGTAACATAAGCAGATGGACCACTTATATCCTGAGAGAAGGGAGTCCATCATGCCCTCGAAAGTTGCCGGCGCATTACATAGTCCAAACGGCATGACTTTGAACTGGTGGAGGCCGTCGGGCGTAACGAAAGCGATTTTTTCACGATCCATGGGATCGACGGAAATTTGCCAACAGCCGGACCAAAGGTCGATAGACGAAAAGTATTGGGCACCATGGAGGCAATCGAGGGCGTCATCAATCCGAGGCAAAGGGTAGACATCTTTGTGGGTCACTTTGTTTAAATGGCGATAGTGCACACAAAAACGCCAGCTGCCATCTTTCTTCTCAACGAGCACGACTGGGGAGGCCCAGGGGCTGGATGAGGGTTCTATTACGTCTTTAGTAATCATTTTATCCACTTCATTTTGAATTACTTGGCGTTCCTTGTGAGATACGCGATATGGACGCCACCGTATAGGACTGGCATCCCCAGTGTTGATCCGGTGAGTCACTGCAGTTGTTTGGCTGAGAGGGCGGTGGTCAAAGTCGAAAACGTCTCTATATGATGTTAGCAGACTACGGAGGCTGGCACCTTGCACTGCAGTGAGGTCGGGAGCAATTATCTTGTTAATGTCATCTGCAGGCAGAGTGTAATTGCGGCGAAGACAGGGGGATGTAGTATCGGTGTCCAAACCAGTAACGTTGCAGCTGTCAAGTGGGGATAGGGTGGCCAAAGACATGTCTTGCGGAATAACTTGAGTCAAAAGACTCACCTTGAGCAGTGGTATAACCACTGTATTATTAGCGACGGCGACAACAGTGTGAGCAAGGGCGACGTCTCGGGCCATGAGTACGTCGACTATAGGACCCAGCACCTCCACCAAATGTGACGGGGCGAGGTCTTGGCTTACAGGATAGCGTTCACCGAGAATCGGCAGCCGAACAAGATGTCTGAGTTGCCTCTCGCGCAATCGCCTAACGCACAGGCGTCTTCTTCATCTTCGCTAAGTGCCACACTTGCTCCTGTCGATGATGCACCGTAACATCATATATATATATATATATATATATATATATATATATATATATATATATATATATATATATATATATATATATATGTATGTGTGTGTGTGTGTGTGTGTGTGTGTGTGTGTGTGTGTGTGTGTGTGTGTGTGTGTGTGTGTGTGTGCATGCATGCATGGAGAGGCCTATATATTGATCGAGCAATGACACTGACAACTATAGGCCTTACCTCCGAAAACAACCCAAGTAACACTTCATCTTTGGCGAAACATCGGCTCGTCGTTACTCGCCAACAACTAATCTGAGGTTGGCCCAACCTTGGCAACCAACGTAGGGTCGGTCTATGGGATTGACATTGGCTTCACGCCGGCCGACATCGACACACAACGTACGTCCCACCACGTTGGCCGATGAGCCAGAGAGCGTGCCGCACACGCGCTGACCGACCTTACATAGGCGTCGATTTACCGACGGCTAGAGGTCGGTTTCCAACGTTTCTTCCTCTGCTTTTTTGTATTTTTGCACATTGGTCCAGGTCACAAGACTAAATGAAACGCTTCTAAAGTCGGCACTTGCTAGCATGTAAGTACGCAACACGCAATAACAGGTAGACTTCAACGTAAGCTTCCTCGCTTTATATGTTTATTTCGCAATTGCATGTGCACTATCTCTTCATGCCACATATATTGTTCGTTCGGAACGATTTGCAGCAGGCCTTGTGCAGCAGTCGATGAAGTGGTATTCATGACAGGCCAGTTCTTTCTTTCAGTCAATTTTCGTGCTCTTGGCCGTGAATAAGCATTCAGTGTGCGGCATTTCACCACCGAGATGTGAGGCTTGTATCGTTCTGTTGCTCATAAAAGCTGAAAAGAACAAGCAGAATCATTATTACTTGGAGAAAGGCTGACTGTTCACTTGACTAGTTGCACAGCCGCATGCATTCTAAGCTCTATTCACACAATACGTCAAAATGTTTTTGTTGGTATGTACACAAAAAAACTGTGCACTTACAATAATTATGTCAGTGCGTTGAGATCCTAAGACTTGCTTGAAGTCCGAAAGCACACGGGTTCCTTGTAATATGTCACTGGAAAACAAACAGTAACACAAATAAATTAAGGACAACGCATCTTAGTTCACGAGGTGGGCACATGTTGGGACTTCCCAGTCGGCGTTTACAGCCCATTACGACCTATTATTCGTTTTGTTTCGTTTTGTTCGTTTTGTTTTATTAACCGACTTTGTTTCACCTTTCGATATTTCACAACTTGAGTCATCGAGTCGATGGGACGTACTACAACACCTTTCGCAGAGTTTTCTTTTCTCCCACATAGCACATATGGCGCCGACATTTTCATACCTAGCAGTCAGCGAAATATGAATTTCTCGCATCTGCTACAATAATAACTAGCTTCTATAACAAAACGTACGGTGCATGCCTATAATTGTGGACTAGGGTTTCATGGTGTAGTGTTGCCCGGCCTGCACTGAAAAATCTCAATTCGTGATATTGTATGACCATTGATGATTCTATTTTTTGAGGTTATACGAAATTGTTTTTAATGGTCGTAATTTAGCTGCGGAATGACATAAACGCATCGAGTGAGTCAAAGTTACTCCAAGTGGTGGACGTTACTTGCATTAAAAACCAATGACGCTAAGTTATGACCTTCAAATTATTTACACCTAAGTATACATACTGCAAGTGATGAGCTGTAAGTAAGCTCCGATTTTGCAGTATTCACCTTGAGATGAAACCTTACGGCAGCAAGAATCTAATAATTTCGCCATCAAATATTTGAGTCAGAAATTCACTGTTTTTTCAGGCACTTTTCCTACTATATATATATATATATATATATATATATATATATATATATATATATATATATATATATATATATATATATATATATATATATATGTGTGTGTGTGTGTGTGTGTGTGTGTGTGTGTGTGTGTGTGTGTGTGTGTGTGGTGTGTGTGTGTCATGCATGCATGGAGAGGCCTATATATTGATCGAGCAATGACACTGACAACTATAGGCCTTACCTCCGAAAACAACCCAAGTAACACTTCATCTTTGGCGAAACATCGGCTCGTCGTTTACTCGCCAACAACTAATCTGAGGTTGGCCCAACCTTGGCAACCAACGTAGGGTCGGTCTATGGGATTGACATTGGCTTCACGCCGGCCGACATCGACACACAACGTACGTCCCACACGTTGGCCGATGAGCCAGAGAGCGTGCCGCACACGCGCTGACCGACCTTACATAGGCGTCGATTTACCGACGGCTAGAGGTCGGTTTCCAACGTTTCTTCCTCTGCTTTTTTGTATTTTTGCACATTGGTCCAGGTCACAAGACTAAATGAAACGCTTCTAAAGTCGGCACTTGCTAGCATGTAAGTACGCAACACGCAATAACAGGTAGACTTCAACGTAAGCTTCCCTCGCTTTATATGTTTATTCGCAATTGCATGTGCACTATCTCTTCATGCCACATATATTGTTCGTTCGGAACGATTTGCAGCAGGCCTTGTGCAGCAGTCGATGAAGTGGTATTCATGACAGGCCAGTCTTTCTTTCAGTCAATTTTCGTGCTCTTGGCCGTGAATAAGCATTCAGTGTGCGGCATTTCACCACCGAGATGTGAGGCTTGTATCGTTCTGTTGCTCATAAAGCTGAAAAGAACAAGCAGAATCATTATTACTTGGAGAAAGGCTGACTGTTCACTTGACTAGTTGCACAGCCGCATGCATTCTAAGCTCTATTCACACAATACGTCAAAATGTTTTTGTTGGTATGTACACAAAAAAACTGTGCACTTACAATAATTATGTCAGTGCGTTGAGATCCTAAGACTTGCTTGAAGTCCGAAAGCACACGGGTTCCTTGTAATATGTCACTGGAAAACAAACAGTAACACAAATAAATTAAGGACAACGCATCTTAGTTCACGAGGTGGGCACATGTTGGGACTTCCCAGTCGGCGTTTACAGCCCATTTACGACCTATTATTCGTTTTGTTTCGTTTTGTTCGTTTTGTTTTATTAACCGACTTTGTTTCACCTTTCGATATTTCACAACTTGAGTCATCGAGTCGATGGGACGTACTACAACACCTTTCGCAGAGTTTTCTTTTCTCCCACATAGCACATATGGCGCCGACATTTTCATACCTAGCAGTCAGCGAAATATGAATTTCTCGCATCTGCTACAATAATAACTAGCTTCTATAACAAAACGTACGGTGCATGCCTATAATTGTGGACTAGGGTTTCATGGTGTAGTGTTGCCCGGCCTGCACTGAAAAATCTCAATTCGTGATATTGTATGACCATTGATGATTCTATTTTTTGAGGTTATACGAAATTGTTTTTAATGGTCGTAATTTAGCTGCGGAATGACATAAACGCATCGAGTGAGTCAAAGTTACTCCAAGTGGTGGACGTTACTTGCATTAAAAACCAATGACGCTAAGTTATGACCTTCAAATTATTTACACCTAAGTATACATACTGCAAGTGATGAGCTGTAAGTAAGCTCCGATTTTGCAGTATTCACCTTGAGATGAAACCTTACGGCAGCAAGAATCTAATAATTTCGCCATCAAATATTGAGTCAGAAATTCACTGTTTTTTCAGGCACTTTTCCTACTATATATATATATATATATATATATATATATATATATATATATATATATATATATATATATATATATATATATATATATATATATATATGTGTGTGTGTGTGTGTGTGTGTGTGTGTGTGTGTGTGTGTGTGTGTGTGTGTGTGTGTGTGTGTGTGTGTGTGTGTGTGTGAAATCTAACAGACAGTAATGCCAAGAGATGTACAGGGGAGGTTATTAGAACAAATGGAATGTAAATAAGAAGAAAGAAAAGTGGATGAACAAATAACCAGCCGTGAGCAGGAATCAAACCTACGACCTTCGAATAACGCGTTCGATGCTCTAACGCGTTCGATGCGTTATTCGAAGGTCGTAGGTTCAATTCCTGCTCACGGCTGGTTATTTTTTCATCCACTTTTCTTTCTTCTTATTTACATTCCATTTGTTCTAATAACTTCCCCTGTACATTCCTTGGCATTACTGTCTGTTACATTTCATTATTATTGTGTTAAACCGCGGAAAAACGAGCTCTTCGGTATACACTTCTTTCCCGTAATATATATATATATATATATATATATATATATATATATATATATATATATATATATATATATATAGTTAAGAATAAAGGAGCACACTTACGAAAATTTGCTAATTGTTTACTCTACGTTTCGGCCGTGGCACGGCCTTCGTCAGGATTCAATCCACGGCAGAAACGTAGAGTACCACGGCCGAAACGTAGAGTAAACAATTATCAAATTTTCGTAAGTGTGCTCCTTTATTCTTAATTATATTTGCACCGGACCCACAGAATTTCTTCTTTGAATCATATATATATATATATATATATATATATATATATATATTTGCACCTAAGGGCACCTAAGGGCCTCCGCCTAGCCTGCAACCCCTCAATGTCTACACTAAGTGAAGCAGAAAGGGGGAAGTGGGAAAAAATATTACTAGAAGCGTCCTTGCAACTGACTCGGGTCATTGCGGACCATAGTGAGCGTAAGGCCGCCCAATACAGTGTCACGGAGGCCACGCAGAAATTGGTATCTAATCTTGGAGAGCATGAGGCAAGAGAACTGGAAAGATATGAACTAAAGAATAGAGGGGAAATTTCAGTAGTAAAAGATAGAAAATTCAAGCGGGACTGCAGTAGCTCCACTGCTCTGCAACAGGAAAATAGGAATGAGGCCGTACAAGAACGCCAGGGACCACCCGTACCACAACCTAACTTTGAGGAGAAAAATGGGAACTCGAAACTACAGTGCAATCCTAATCAAAACATCCTTACTCTCGAATATGACGCTGACACTCCCGTGCCACGTGATAGCCAAGAGCAGCCGAAAACTTATGAGAAAAATGTCCTCAATCTGTCAAACACAACACTCACACCCGCTCAGCTTCAACTTTTGTCGAGAAGCTTAACCTTTTGTCCATCATCCGGTAGATTCAATGAATTTGAACTGTACCAAGACCTCGATAACTTTGCGCGTAATCTCCGCCTCCGTGAATACTTTCATCATCGCTAGGACTGTACGGACGAGAATAGAGTGATTGGTGGTGACAGATCATGGTGTCCGGGTGAGCAGAAGGACAAACACCTCAATATGTATATATCAGCAGTTCAAAAAGATATCATCAGAGCGTACGAAAAAAATCGGCCATTTCGAAACAACATATCAAAGTCAGAACGAAGGGCACTCTATGAACTACGAAAAAACACTGGAATTACTATCAAACCGGCTGATAAAGGGGGCTGCATAGTAATTCTAAACACGTCGGACTACTTAAAGGAAGGGGAACGACAGCTATCAGACACAAAATTCTACAAAGAACTTCCAACTGACCCGACTCCCGAATTTTAAAGGGAGATAAAAGTAACCCTAAACAATCTTCGCCGGGACGAGAAAATTACCGGCAAAATGTTAAAAGCAATGTTACCGACCTATTCTGTTCCCGGTCGATTGTATTTGCTCCCCAAAATACACAAGGCAGGTAATCCGGGACGTCCGATAGTATCCAGTAACAGCACATCAACAGAAAATATATCAGAATTCATCAATTCCTTAATAAAAAACATCCCCCCAAATTTTCCCTATTACCTAAAGGACACAAACCACTTCATCTGCAAAACTTCAAGTCTCGACATCCCAGGCGGCAGTTTTCTGGTGACCATGGACGTCTGCTCACTGTACACCAACATACCCCACCATGACGGAATAGCGGCTATGGTTTCTTAATATGTAAAATCTGACTCATCAACTAGTGTAAGTGGCGAGGTACTGTCTACACTTCCTGAGTTGTACTAAATTATAACCATTTTGAGTTCAATGGCAAGCATTTCCTTCAGGTCAGTGGCACTGCAATGGGCACGAAAATGGCCCCAAACTTCGCGAGCACCTTTATGGCTTCACTTGAGATCCCATTCATTGAGGGACGCA